AGAAAACTCTCCCATCACATTGGATATGAATCACATCAACGTATGACCTAACATATATGGTCCTCACCCTTAACCTTTTCTGGTTTGTACACAATAGCCCTGTTTGGTATATCTTTTTTTCAGCTTATTTTAATTTTTAACTTAATTTAAATTATTTTGATATGTTTAGTTTAACTTAAGCTTATAACTTATAGCTTTTTGTAAGTCAAAAATCAGCTTATTCTTTGAGTGAGACAGAAGAAGATTAATTTATAAATCAAAAATCATATTATGTTCATAGTTATAAGCTATAAGCTGTTAAGGTATAAGCTATAAGCACTTTCCCACAGCTCTACTAAACAGGGCCAGTAGACTATGAGCTCATTTAAGAAGTGATTGTTTTAATTGGTGTGATTATTTTAATTGATTTTACGATTTTTTTATAAAATGAATGTATAAAACAATAAATAAAGTGATGTAATTGAGTGTTATGATTTTTTAGTTAATTTAATAAAAAAAAACCACCATTTTACACAATTCACAATGCATATCCCCATCATATAGCTCAAAACCAACAAAACTAGAAAAAAAAATGAGGAGAAATTACATGTTAGTGTAAAGCTTGAAAAATAATAACAAATTAATAGTAAAATTTATTAATATTAATAATTAAAATTATAAACTTTTTCATATATGTGTAATATTTTTTCCAAACTACCACTTAAGTATAATTTTCCAAAAAATTATTAGGTCATACACCATTCACGAATTGTCAGGTCTTTTACTGTTTTCTCAGGTCCCAACACAAAGTCTTTCTCTCCTTTCACCAATCACAAAACTCTTGAATCATCACCGATCATGTTCCAAAACTACCAAATAACTTCTCAAAAATTGGATGTCATCCAGCTGTGAAAACTGTGAGTTCTGACTGAAAATAAGGAAAAAGTGAAAATTTTAGTTTAAATTTTTTTCATTTTTTTTTCTTTTTCCCTTCATTTCATACACAAAATCAATCATCCACCACAACCACAAAAACAAAAGTTCTATCAGTTATATGATGGAAACTAGGAACTAAAATTATGAACACACAACACATGTTCCATGCCACTCAACACCTTTTTTTTTTCCCCTTCCTATGAAGAGCATGCATTGTGTTGAATAAGAAAACAGTAAGGTTCCAGATAAAGATATGAATGTGTTCATGCATAGAAAACAAGTAGAATAATATTGCTATGCTACTCAGTAAGCATAGTAAGCAAGCATGGAGGAATCACTTCACTAACAGAGCTTAGGTTTGAAAAAAAAAAAATTCAATTCTGTTTCCATTTCCACAGTATCTGAAAGCACGTATCAATAACACAATGAAAAGAAGCCAAAATCACAATGGTAGTAGTGAAAGCAGAACTATTTTACAGAATCAAAAAGACGATGTCCTATGTGCAGTGTTAGGGGGACTAGAACTATTTTTCAAATAGAAAAACCAGTACATAGGAATTCCTAACACAACTGTTAATGTTTTCGAGTCCTATTCTCAGGCCTAATGCATCAATCTGGATTGATTTATCAGTGAACCACTTTAATGGTGGTGTTTGGGAACCTAGGTTCCAAATTTTTTTCTCATTTTTTCCACTAAAAGACAAACTTTTTACAAAACCAAAAAAAACACATCCAAACAAAATATCGCATCCAATTCCATAATCATTTCACTTTTTCTCTCACAAACATCACATCCAACCACATAAAAACCCAACTATATTTCCAAACACCAAAAAAATTTTATCCAATAAAAACCTACAACTAAAAAAACCTACATAAAAACTCACTTCCCAAACACCATCAATATCTGTGCTAATCGCTTAAAAGAGAGAGCTTTTTCGTTTCACCTGTTAGCAAGCCTATACTCTGCATGTGAGACAGTGAGTAGTAAACTGATCAGAGACTTCCACCAAGTTCTCCAATTACATTGTAACTCTACTTGATGTCTGCTATCTTATTAGCTTTTGTAGTGGCATCGGATGAGTGACATCAACATAAAGATGCTAGTCTTAAACCAACTACTCATTCAGAATTTTGTCCAACAAAATTTAAATGTATATATAATAACACAAAAGTTAAAATCATCATTAGAGTAACGCCATCACAAAATTGTAAAGAAGAAGCTATAGAAAACTGTGGGTACCTGTATTTGATCTCCATGTGGTGAGCCATGTTGCTGCCACGTCATCTCCACTGGCATCTTGATCTCTATATGCAAGTGGCATCAGTGCCAGGTCATCGCCATATGTGAACATTGGATTCATTTGTCAAGCCAAAGCAGTGATGCATGGACCAAACATAATGGTGAGCTTGGCTAGCTAATGCATCCAGTGCTACCTGAGCCATAGCACCATGGGATGAAACTCAAGCACCCCTCAGTTGAGACGATGATTCTTCACTGAAAGCACGGCATAGGGCACTCCATGGTATCTCCAAGACATGCCCACATTATCCCTTGGCTGGGTTAATGACTCTCCACTCAAGAATGTCGTCTCCACCTCACAGCAACACACTTGGTATACCCTAGTCTTGGCCAAGTGGTTCTCCACCAGGGGTTGACCCCCTATGCCCGTCTCTCTCACAGGGATACCTCCATGGAAGTGTTGGGTGCTATGACCACATAAAACATGGCGGATCTTCTCCCTTGACTCAATAAAGCAAAATGCTCCACTTCAAACCATACTTCTAAATACTTTGGTTCCCAAAAAGGGCACCCTGATGCTATCATGCCTACCTAGGTCCAGGGCATTGCCTAGGTAGCCATCAGGGTTTGTGTTGTAGGCATTGAGTGCTCAAGTGACCCTATGACCCTCAAGCAAAATTACTAGGGACATAGAGAATTGACAGTCAGAGCTCTAGGTATGTCAAAGTGACTCGCTTCCATGACCTCACTCCTCAGAGTGGCTCTACTTTGACAAGAGAGGCTTCACATGGAGCCAACTTAAGGCCATGACCGCGGTGCATGAGCTCAACACTTTTCTCATATTTGGTGAGCTTGTCCAACATACTGTTAAAATATTCCTCCGATTTGTCGAGAAACACACAAAGGACCTATTTTTTCCTGTCCCCAAAGCATACCTATAAATAAGGAGGCTATCCCCTCCATATTAGAGAATATCACATTCACCACAACGGAGCTCCCTCTGGCCAACTCAAAATGCTTCTCCCTCACTACCACTATCTCCCTTCTCTAAGGCTATCTCAGCTCTTTCTCTCCACTTCTGGTGTCCTATGCCATCTCAATACCCACCATAATTTCAGGAGAGTCCATGGTCCGGCCACTCACCAACAATGACCCACAAAACTTAATTTGAATTATTTCTCCTTTAAGTTCCATTTTACAAATTGAGGTGAGCATAACTTTAGCATAAGCAAGCTAGATGAATGAATTCATCCACTTGCAATGATAGAAATACCAAATCTAAATAATTCATTCTTAAATAGTAAATACAATTATTTTATGAGCTCAACAGATCCAAAAAATTAAACCCAACAGTGTCATGTTGGTACTAAAAACATAATTCAAAAAGGTATGATGCTATCAAAGATTTATTTAGTCATTTGTGCCATTAAGTGTCAATCGTCTCCTTTTTTTCTTGATGTTGTGTATTGCCAGCGGCTTACTCTTCTCTGTCAAGTTGTAACCACTACTTTTCAATCCAGTTTCTATACAATAGACATATCTGGGAAGCTTACCTCAAAATTCAAATAAACTGAAAAGTACATTACCAAACTTCTTAGGAACTAAAATGGAATTTAATGCACCGTGATACTCCATTTGTGGCCTTGTTTAAAGTATAAGCCAGCTTGTCTTTTTGCTTGGCCTAGACCCACATCCTCTTTGATGCCCCCATCATAGTGAAGTTTTAGTCCTCATACATAGCCAAACCATCTCTACTTTATCTCTCGCCCCCATGTGATGTCATTTTTTTGTTATTGCCTATGAATTCCTGCTCATTTAGACCTATCGGTTCTTCTCATCAATCAGTCTCAATATCTTAATTCAACAACATTCAATTTATCAACGAGTTAATGGATTGTCAAATATTTGTATCATATCTTGTGTCTTTCTCCCTCAATTAGATAATATGTCAACTAGACGATGTTCTAGAGCAAAAATCCACTTTATCCATTACGCCCCAATAATTAGCCCAACATCCTCTAGCGCTTTCCTATGGATGCCACCTACCCTCTTTAATATTCACCAAGTGAATGAAACCAAAAAGATAATGGTCACTTGTTGGCATCATACCTCTGTAATCAATACAACTACTCCCTCATTTTTCACTCCAAGGTACACTCAATCTTATTAGTATACTAATATACTCAGTCTTAGGCTTTGCTTTATGGAAGTCTTTGATAATTCAACTCCAGCATGCATTCTCCTTATAATTTCAGCATATCCACTTGGTATACCTTCATTTTCTAATCCATGATATACTCTCTCTCAATTGGCTCGATCATGCGCCTTATCTAAGTTAAGGAAGACCATTTCAAGGTCTTTCTCATTTTTATAAACCCAAATATTAGAAAACTAGCAAGAAAATAAGTCTTAAATGTAAAAATCCATAGCAAAAAAAAAAAAAAAAAAAAACTTATCTGAGATATTTTTGTCTGATGTTTGTCATTGCTAACCCCAAAGATTAGGTTTTGTTTTGTTTTTTTTTCTTTTTTCATTTATCTACGATTTTAAGTCTCGTACTACGTTAAAATTTCCAACTTTTATATCCCCATTACGCTAAATTGCAATCTTATCACACAGCGTTATTAAATTATGTGCACTTCATCTCCTCCATCAGAATCAGAAGCTATTCAACAAATTATGAATTCATCATTGAAGCTCATTCTTTTCTTCAATCAGGAGCCTGTAACTCGGACAACTTTCAATATGAAGTCTGATTTTTTACATCATATTATAAGCTCAAGAAACAAGGATAATGGGTCAGGACTTATGAAAAAAGACACAATTTCAAAGACATAGTACATAGAGAATGAGAATATAATTGGTGATTAATAAGTAATGTACAAAAAAAATATTACAGCCAATATATGGTTGAAGAGAGTTCTTGACCACAGAAAAAAAAGAAAAAAATCCGTAGATTCAAATTGTCAATACCAAAAGGCTGACCATACTATGCTGGGAGATCAAAAACATGATTTTGTTTCAGAAATGTAATAAAAAATAATATGAAGAATATCTCTAACATGGTACAAACGTGTAACAATTATTTGTGCTTTCTTTTAACAACTCAACAAAACAATTTCATACCTCACCAGTTACAACACATGGAAATCCCAAAAATGGTAGATACTCGACTCTTCAGGAAGATATTTCGTGTCTGAAGTGATACATGCTAGCAAATTCCAAGCACAACTCATGGTCCCTTGTATCTCCCCAGCCTCCCCAACCCCTAAACCCAGCTTGGTATCCTGTTTGATGCTCAAAAACTTGCACTCCCCAATTTGAATTGATATTGCCAGTCTTATCAATCTCTTCTACTTGGATGTTCACCACACCTTTGTCAATGCAAGAAACACTCTCCCCTTGGCCTTGGTGCAAACCACATTTCCCAAAATGAACAGCACTTGTCCTTGGACCTCGTAAAGTGTAAACGGGACCACCAAACGAAGGATAAACCGTTGCCCACATTGTTATATCCCAATTGTACTCATCAAAGAAACAAAATTCTCTTGCCTTCCTATGTATCTTTCTCCAAACCGTTCGATTAAAGGCATAACCCACGTTACCCATTTTCTCCGCAATCAATTTTTCCCACCCTTCTCCCCTTGATTTCACATCAGACGGTGCCAGATTTGCAGCATAGCAATTAGGACATTTTTTAGGCTTAAGAGCTGTAAGTAGCTGTAAGTTGCGATAAGCATTAGGAAAAATAAAGTGGTCCTCCTCTATGAAAAGAATATGACCCGAGTGCTGACGAGTCTCCTCTAACCCATCCCACACTATGTTCATCATCCACCACCAGTGATGCTTTAGTGACACGATCTTTGGTGACCGGTGATTTCCATACTGATCTGGATTTCCCTTGCAACGTTTCTTAACTGAGTCATCTCTATCCTTGCAGTCTGTTGGCGAGACACTGGGAAAACTATAATTAAAGATATGGGGCGAGTAAGGGGCGAATATTTGTTTCACTTGACAGAACCTAATACCTTCCACAATCTTGTTCATCTCTTCAAAATACCCGTCATGACTAACTATCAATAGAGTTTCACCAATCCCAACTACTTGAGAAAGGCTATCAACAACTACTCGGAGATATTGGGGGCGATTGTGAACATATAGAACAATTGTTATATGATCCTTGGCTAGCTTGGGAAATAAATCCAAGTTTCTTGGGGGCCACTGATTTTTCTTTTCCAACATAATTGACAATTCATTCTGTTTGGGGATGAGTTTTCTTCTAAATTGGGAGTGGGTGTTAGTCGGTTCAATATTCTGATCAATTTCATTCGAATGTTGGGTCACTATATGTGAAACCGTATTCGTCCGAAGGAGGAAAAGAATTAGAACAACCCCTAACAAAGTAATCAGAATCACAGACAACATACGGCGAAAAGCCGCATCTTTGATTCGGGATTTCTTGTTGGAAGCCATAAATCAACAGCACATAAAACATCAAAAAGTTTTCATGGCAGTTATAGTTACAACATTTACAGCTTCTGAATCCAAAAGAGAAGCTACTATTCCTCCAAATCAGAAAAAATCAAAAACTTGGTAACAGTTTACCAACCAAACATCAAAATCTGCAGGAACCCAGTTGTGAACAAGATAAATTAGAAAGAGGCTAAGCATTAATAACCTCAAAAATGGTCTTCAGAGTGAAATTGAATAATCCTGACTTTCAGATAAAAATCAAAATTCTGATAACAGATTACTAGTCAAACATCAAAATCTGGAGGAACCCAGTTGAGAACAAGACAAATCAACAAGAGGGTGAGAATTAATAACCTCAAAAATGGTCTTCAGAGTCAGATTGAAGCATCCAAACTTTCAGAACATGACCATAAGACCACCCCTTGAACTGAACCAAAGCTCTCTGGAATCAAGGTTGTGGAGTCAACACAGCAAAACCCATCAACGAATCGCCTAAAAACACTAGGGTTTTTGCCAATATCGGAGCTAGTAGGCAAAAACCCAATGTGAATTGAAACCAATTCGCAAATGGGTAGTCAAGAGATGTGTAATTTGAGGATCAGATTGGTCCTAAACATGGAAATGTATGAGATCAACAGACTATAGTGAGCATTGCGTGGTAGACGGAGTTGTTGAAGAGGACAAACCGGAGAGTGAAGAGGAAGTTTCTCACTGGGGATGGTGATGACGACCTTCTTTGGGCATCTTGGCTTTGAAGAAATCGTAAAAATATCACACATATTTTTATTCTTTATTAAATTGTGTAATAATGAAATTTTAGAAATTTAGTAACTGATGTAATAATGAATTTGTAGAAACGACGAGTGTTACATCTAATAATCAAGGGTTGGTCTTTTCGTAAGTTTGCAATATAATTGGAGATAGTTAGTCTAGTAGGTGACGATTAAAGTCTAAAGATTTATTTTCTTTCAAGTATGAGATTTGAATTTTCTAGTAAATAAATGTTTATTTTGGGATTACGGATTGCAGGGCGTAAGTCCTCCTTCAGAAGACGCATATTTTGGGGCCACGGATTGTAAGGTGTAAGCTCTCTTTTTTGAAAGACTTGTTTAGGCTATGAAGACTTAATTTGATGCACATAAACTAACTCAGGATATCCTACATAATAATTGGGGCCACATATAGCAAGCCGTAAGCTTAATTGCAAGGTGTAAGCTCTCTTTCGGAAGGCTTGTTCAGATTATAGAGATTTAGTCTGGTGCGCGTACGTTGACTCAGGATATCCTACATAACAGTTGGAGTCACGGATCGCAGGGCATAAGCCTTCTTTCGGAAGGTTTGTTCGGGTTGTAGGGACAATCTGGTGCGCGTAAGCTGGTTCAAGATATCCTACATAACAAAAAAGAAAATAAACCTATAAAAACACATCGAGAAAAAACACATCGAGACAGTATTTGGGTTTAATAGACTTATTGTAAGTTTAATTTTAATTATTCGAATTGTTCACTTTTTAAAACACATCGAGAAAAATAAACCTATAAAAATTAATATGATTAGACCTCAAAAATTATATATTTGAATCACATTTATTTAAAAAAAAATAGACGACAAATATAATTTTAAGAATAACATCTATTTTTTTAAGACAAATATGATTTAAATATATAGCCACCAAAATACAATCATCTTATTTTTTACATGTTTATTGTTCTTAACGAATCTTAAAATGTGAATGATTTGAATTATTAAGGTTGGATTCACAATAGGTGTCCACTAAACTCAAATACCCAACAATAAAAGTTCAAAGAATGAAATAATTAGGTGTGATAGGCGTGTAGTAATTTTTTTTAAGAAAAATAATAATTAAGTGTAAATTTAATATTAAAAAAATTAGACTAGTGATAAGTTTTATAAATATTAACAATTAAAATTTTAAATTTTTCATGAATCTGTTAGTATTTTTTAAAAATATCATTGAATTGTAATTTTTCTTATTTTTTATGAGTATATTATATTTTTCAATCTTGAATTTTTACTTAAATTTCACTTTTGGTCCATTATAGTAATTTTTTTTTTTTTTTTTTTTTTTTTTTTGGGTTTTTAATGAAGTTAAAAAATCAAAAGGATAGCCACCCAAAAAAAAAAAAAGAAGGGGCTGTGGGAAAGAAGAACAGGCTGAGTTATTGCGTGGAAGAAAAAAAAGCCCCTGACGGTATTTTGTTTGAATGAAAAATATTTTAAAAAAAATAATTTGTATATTTCTTAACAATTGGTGTAATAAGAAATAAAAGTTAACAAAAAATATTTTCTATAGTTAATGGAAAACAAGTCTATTTAAACAGAATATATTTTTTACTTTTAAAAGGCAGAAAACAATTTTCCAAACTAAAATTTTATAAATGTCAATACACCAACACCATGGTCAACGCCACCATCACTGTTATCATCATCCCACAACCATGTCACCACGTCCAGCTCGACCTTCATTACACCATCACCACCACTAAATATAAAAAAAATATTTTTTGTCAAAATAAATTGAGCAAAAATGATAATTACAATGAGTGAAACTAAAAACTCTGATGATTATCAATCTCGCCTTTGATGAGAGTTAAACCGTGACCTCTCATACCTGAGAGGTGAGAAGATGCTACTAGATTTTAATCTCGTTGACAACCCATTATCTTTTAATCAAAACAATTAAGTTCTTAAATTTCAATTTGTATTTTCAATGTGATTATTCTCTCGCTTCACTGTTTGAAGAATATTTTCTAATTATAATATTTAAATCTTTAGACTTTAATTCATGTTTCATTGTGATTCTAAATTTAAATGAAAATTGAAGCATAACAGAGTAAAATAAAATTTGAGTCAAAATTCAATAGTTAAAAAGTATATATATATTTTTTTTTGCTGGTGTCCCTAAAATGTGCTTTAAGCACTTTATATCCAAATTTTAAGAGGTAAGTGATAGAAAAAACACACGAGTTAAAATTAAAAAAATTAATTGTTACAATTAAAGACAAACTTTTGATCAAAGTTAGGCAATAAAAATAAAAAATATTTTTTTCCTAAAATTTATTAGCTTATATAATATTACTCAGTCGAAGGAGAATTTGATAAGGTGAGTATTAATCAAAAGTGGGAAACTTTAAGATTGGATCATCGATGGCTTAACGGTTACCAAATTTTTTTTGTCTGTACTGTCTTAAATAAAAAGTCAGTTAATTTATCACATTACCTAACCAAAACCGAAAAAATTAGGTAATCTTAAAAAATATTTCTAGAAGTATTTAAAAATTAAATGTATGATATATATTTAATTTTAAATTACTTTACACCGTGCACTTTTATACTTCACACCTAACCTCACTTTACACCCTCACCACAGTTAAATTTCTATACTTTTAATCAAGTGACAATGGTGGTGTTTGGCAAGTTGGGTTGGGCTAAAATAGCCACAAAAGACAAAATAGGCTATTTTAGCTACAACAAACAAAACATCACATCCAACCCATAATCATTACATTCTTCTCTCACAAAAAAAGTCAAAAAAGCCAAAAAGTCAAAAAGCCCTTCCCAAACCAAGCTTTTTAGCCCAGGCTAAAATAGCCAAAAAAGCCAAAAAGCCAACCCACTTCCCAAACGGAGGCAATGTAAACTTTCTGTCTAAATTATTATAAAAAGGGTAAATTATAAATAAACTCCCTGAGATTTGCTTAAAAAATAAATTATCTCATGTGGTTTAAAAAATTACAAATACCTCCCTATCAGAATTTTTTATTTAACAGAATTAATTGAAATGTAGAGTTTCTAACTGTTCACCTATATAATTGTGGAGAAGTGGTTTGGAAATACTCTTTTGATCCGGGGGGACGCTCGCGATCCTCTGCTAGCCACCTGAAAATGGATAAACACTCCGGTCGGGGGTGCCGGAATTAGCACTCCGACGGAAAAAGTTAGTCTCTGCACTCAAGATTACTTGTATTCTTAGCTAAGCTTAATAATTCTCACATACCTTTCTCTGATGGGTGGTACCATATTTATAGTATCTCCTTTGGGCCTTTAGGCTGGGCCCGTCCTTGTTCCGTCACATGTACCTCTACTCGGCGTCTGTCCTATTGGCTGGGATACTGGTTATTTTATTCGGCTCCTTGATTGGCTGGGGTATATGCCGAATAGAGGTTATGTTTCGGGCCAGACACACATCCGTCCCTATGGGTCTAATATAATTTTCGACTCCCACAATTGCCCCCCAAACACCCTACTAGCATCAGTTAGTCGGCGTGTTTGGCTTTTAGCCTGGGAAGTCAAAAATTCGGCGGTTAACCCTCTTATCAATGCGTGTCAAAATGCGCTCATGCTTCTTAGTCATTGTAACGCTTTCCCGCCCCTTCGTACACTGCTTCCATTTAATATGATTTGAAATTGTCTCTTCGAGTGTATATCCTGAATGTTCAAAAGATATCTTCCTCACTCTCTAGTGCAACTCTATCTTTTCGCGGCTTCTACAACTCCTTGTTTGCCGCTTCTCCCTTTATTTCCTGTAAGTCTTCTTCTCTTTCATTTTTGATCTCGCTTCTTTGTTTGCTTTTAACTTTCCGTAATCCTTGGGTTTGGCTTAAAAAGAATGGCAAAACATCTGAAAGAGCTCCTTTCGGCGAATCGAATCTCCGGCTTTCGACGCCATTTCTCCATCCCTGATGACATCTATCTGTCACTTTTGGCAGACAGCATCACTGATATACAGAGGGAAGATGAGAGCACAATCGTCTTTCCTCTCCTATCAATTGCTGAGGGCGGAGTCTGCTTTCCTTTTCACCCACTTTTGAGGGCCGTTCTTAGATATTGGGATCTAATCCCTTCCCAGCCCAACGTCAATTTCCTTCGCATCATAATGGGGATCGTAGAACTAAATCGTCGTCTTAGGACCAATTTAGGTATTCCTGCCATTCGGCACTGTTGCGCCCTAGCCAAATCTACTGGCCGGCTAGGGCGCTACTTTCTTAGAGCTAAGGATATTGATCATCACTTAGTGACTATGCTTGTCAGCTCTGTCAAGCGTGTCGACGACATAATGGTCATTGTTCGCGACAACTGGGAGTTCAGCGAAGGCGAAGATCACCTAGACATGGTACCGAGGAAAAAAGGTGAACCAGGTGGCCGATTAGATCACTTTGCTTTTCATATTTGCATGTATATGTATTCGACACTATGTTCATCTTATCGTTTTGTTTGTGCAGGCAGCGATTTGAAGAGAGTGTTGGTTTTAGACGACGACGTCGTGCTCACAGAAATCAAGACCACACTACAATTCGTCGATCGTCCAAACCTTCAAAAACAAGGGAGGGCAGGCCACATTCTCCTGCAGTACGAGCCAATTTACACAACGTTCTCGGCGGCAGACAACATTTCGATCGCGCGAGGAGACAATCAACTTGCTGCCCTTATCTTCCCCAGCTTCAAAAACTTGAGGCAGATCGGTTTAGAGTCATCTGAATCTGAACACGCGGAAGAACAAGTGGCCGAACCAATCGCTGAGGATTCGGACCGGTTGGCTGCGGAAGTTGATGAAGCGATCAATTCGGCCTTTGAGGAAACCAGATTGAACTCTTCTGACCCTCCGTCTACATCGGGCCGAGGGGACGCCTTTGTAGATATTTTTTTGAACTTGGGAGACCTTCCCGGCGATTACTCTGAAATGGCTGGGAAAAATCTTATGCAGATGGCACGGAAGAGAAACGCCGAACGCATGGCCACCCGAAAAA